CACTCTGTATGCCAGGGAAAACAGGGGAGGACTGGTCAATGGTTGGAACAAAGCACAGTGTGTGTGGGGCTGAGGGTAGGTGAGAGAAGAGACCAGTATGACAATAATAGCTGGGAATGATCACGCTGGACAAGATCGGAGGGTTAAAAGTAGGTAAAGGGGTATTCCTGATAACCTTTCAGTATCAATATTGCAAACCATGAGGAGAGAGAGAGAGAGAGAGAGAGAGAGAGAGAGAGAGAGAGAGAGAGAGAGAGAGAGAGAGAAAGCACCTGCCATAGAGGAGGCAGGCAGGGGGTGGGGGTTGATGGGAGGGAACCTGGGGACATTGATGCTGGGAAATGGGCACTGGTGGAGGGATGGGTGTTGGAATACCGTATGACTGAAAGAAATCCAATCATGAACAGCTTTGTAAGGGTCTATCTCACAGTGATTCAATAAAAAAGTTTTTTTAAAAAAAGAAAATACCCAAAAAATAAAAAACGAAACCCTCTGAATATGCAGTACCCAACAAAGTACAATAATGTCTGAATCCAGGTAGGCAGCGGTGTAAAAGACCAGCAACGAGGAGACAAATCAGTCAGAGCTGACTCTGTGGAAAAGCATGCTCAAATTGGCAGGAAATAAAAACAGTTCTTATACAGGTATGTTCACTGCGCCCCCACCCCTCCTGTACTTCTGGACTGACCCACATTCCACACCACTGCCATGTAAGTTCATTTACTGGCCCAACTTTACAGATTCATGATTAAATCTTGGAAGACAACAACTAGCTGCAAAAATTCATGGGTGCACCTGAACTGCCTTTTCCCCTAGCATGTGCGGCTGGCCCCCAAGCCATGGAGCAAAATTCCTGGTATTAATCTCGGCCACTCTTGGGTGTTAGTCTCCTATTTTGTTACTTTATGTTCCCCAGATGAATGCAGTCTTTCTATGTCTGTCCCTCTCTTTCTGACTCATTTCGCTTAGCATGATACTTTCCATGTAGTACCACTTGTATGTAAATCTCATGACTTCATCTTTTCTAACAGCTACATAGTACTCCATGGTGTAGAGGTACCAAAGTTTCTTTAACCAGTCATCTGTTCTTGGGCACTCGGGTTTTTTCCAAATTTTGGCTATTGTGAACAGTGCAGCAATGAACATAGAAGTGCAGATGTCAGCTAGAGAAGGGAGCACCAAGTAAAGGGTGTTGGGAGGATGCCCCCAGGATGGGAGATGCATGCTGAAAGTAGACTATAGACCGAACATGATTGCCACTCAATGCCTCTTTTGCAGACCACAGCACCCAAAAAGAGAGAGAGAGAGAACAAAAGGGAATGCCCTGCCACAGAGGCGGGGTGGGATGGGGGGGGGGGGTGGGAGGGATACTGGGATCTTTAGTGGTGGAGAATGGGCACTGGTGGAGGGATGGGTACTCCATCACTGTATAACTGAAATCCAAACACAAAAACTTGTAAGTCCACAACTGTACCTCATGGTGTTTCCCTAATAAAAAATTTAAGGGGCTGGAGAGATAGCACAGTGGGTAGGGCGTTTGCCTTGCACGCGGCCGACCCGGGTTCGATTTCCAGCATCCCATATGGTCCCCTGAGCACCGCCAGGAGTAACTCCTGAGTGCAGAGCCAGGAGTAACCCCTGTGCATCGCCAGGAGTGACCCAAAAAGCAAAATAATAATAATAATAATAATTAAAAATAAATAAATAAATGAAAGACAAAAAAAAATTCATGGGTGCACTGGTCTCCTGGGTGAAAACTCTGGGATGCTATGAGGGGGGAGAGGGAGGGGGGGACAGACCTGTGGAAGCCTTGGCAGCCTCCCTCACACCCCCACAGCCGCCACCATGTCAGTGGCCCAACTCCACTGACTCATGACTGAGCTCTGCGGATGCCAAACTGCCAAAACTCTCAGGTACCTGGTCGCCAGACAGAGAACTCTGGGGTCTTTCTGGAGTTGGGGAGGAGAGCCTCCCCCCCAAACCCCCCCAAGCAAGTACTTCCAGAAGCCCCTGTATCTACACCCGCATCTCACGACCATGTCCGTTTAAGTTCATTGCCCGGTTAACTATTCTGGGGTTTCTGGAGTGTGTGAACATCTCCACACTCTACAATACCGACAGCCCAGCAGAAGCCACCAAACTAGATGGGGGAATAACACAGAAGCCAATGGGGCTGATTTCCGCAGCCATCACCGCGTAAGCTCATCTACGGCCCCGGCTTCTGAGACTCCTGAATGTCTCTCGAAAGAGTTCAACTTGCCACAAAAATTTCTCAGATATCCTGGGCCCCGGCTGAGACCTGCAGGGTGACCTTGGCACAGGCGTCAGGCCAAGTCCCTGCCCGGCCAAAGCCCCAGCAGCCACACTCACACCCCAACGGCCGCCACCATCATGCCCATGGCCTACAACTGAGCTCCAGTGAGACGCCAAACTGCTGAAAACTTCAGGTACACCAGGGTTCTTTTCCTGCGAATTCTGGGTCTACTCGGAGCAGAGATGGGCCTAGATGGAGGTAGTTCCCCCCACCTCCCCGCTCTTCTGGAAGCCCCCGAAGCCAGACACACACTCCACCACCACCATAAATTCAATGCCCAGTTAAATACTCTGGGTTTTCTGGAGAGACATCTCCAAACTCCACAACACTGACATCCCCGAAGGAGCACAGCAGGTTGGGTGGGAGATGTAAAACAGAAGCCAACTGAGCTCAGTCAACAAAAACATTAACACCGACGTCTCAACTAGCAACAAGAGCCTAGTAAACCCTCAGACAAGAGCCAAATGACCTTCTGGTGAGACATAACAATTTTCAAAATTTTTCTTATACTGAAGTATACTTTGATCATCACATTAGCCGTTTAGTTGTAATAGGTAATATAAAATAAGTTATACTGCTAAGGGATCAGGCTTGGGAAGTGGTAGGGAAAATGGGGACAACCGTGGAGAGAAGGTCACGGTGGTGGGGGGATTGGTGTTAGAATATTGAATGACCGTAACAAATGCATCACGCACAACTTTGTTAAACCACAGTGTTTAAATGAAGGGGGGAAAGAAGTAAAGAAAAACTCTAGGCAGCTCAGATAAAGAAGGGAGCACCAAGCAAAGGGTGTTGGGGAAGATGCATGCTGAAAGCAGACTATGGACCGAACATGACTGTCACTCAACGCCTCTTTTGAAAACCACAGCATCCAAAAGGGGAGAGAGGACAAAAGGGAATGCCCTGCCACAGAGGCAGGGTGGAACGGAGGGATGGGGGATGGGAGGGATACTGGGACCCGTGGTGGTGGAAAATGGGCACTGGTGGAGGGATGGGTACTTGATCGTTGTATAACTGAGACCCAAGCACAAAAATCTGTAAGTCTACAACTGTACCTCATGGTGTTTCACTAATAAAAACTTAAAAAAAAAAAAAACTCTATATATCACTTGTCATCACTTGTCATGATCACTTGTCATCCAGTTGTTCATCGACTTGCTCGAGTGGGTGCCAGTAACGTCTCCATTTGTCCCAGCCCTGGGATTTTAGCTGCCTCTCCTTACTCGTCCTTCCCAACGCTGCCATATTGGAGGCTCTTTCAGGGTCAGGGGGATGAAACCCGTTACTGTTATTGTTTTTGGCATATCGAATATGCCACGGGAGCTTGCCAGGCTTTGCTGTGTGGGTGGGATACTCTCAGTAGCTTGCCAGGCTCTCCGAGAAGGACGAAAAATGTATGTAAGAGAATACAGGCAAGTATGTTAAAACCAAATACGTGTGCATCAGTGGGCCCTGGTGAAGACAGCCAGGCGTTTCCGGGAGCTGTTTTTATAGTCTCTGGATCTTGACCACTGAGGAGATTACACGGCGCTGGGGACAGTGGGTGAGTGTGACTGCCAAGCTCCTGGAAAACGGGGGAATATGGGTGGAGGAGGCCCAGCCCTGATCCAAGCAGGCTTGGAGATCTCAGCCCCGGGTCCCGCCAACCTGGGTTCCTCTGCCGGTTCCTTCAAGTGTGAGGCTCATCAGAACCTGTGGAGAGTGGCCTTGAGCATGGGTGTGGCTGGGTTCTGGAGGTTTTTGGCTTCTGGGGTTCTGCTTGGGGCAAGGAGGGAGACTCAACTCGCTACCCCACCCCCAAGGGATCCCGGTGAAGACATACTGGGGCACGGGCAGGAGATATACATACATACACACACACACACACACACACACACACACACACACACATATATATGTTATTTTTTTTCCCAAAAGTTGAGGCATGGAAAATTTTTTCAAAAGACAAAATCTCTAGACATGAAACTTGTAATATATGAGACCAAAAATTGCCCAATAAATCAGGTATTGTAAGCTTGAAGACACAATGATAGGAACTATTCAAAAGACATAAATGAGAAAAAAAAATTTTATTTATTTATTTATTTATTTATTTTGCTTTTTGGGTCACACCCGGCGATGCACAGGGATTAGTCCTGGCTCTGCACTCAGGAATTACCCTGGAGGTGCTCAGGGGACCATATGGGATGCTGGGAATCGAACCCGGGTCGGCCGCGTGCAAGGCAAACGCCTTACCCGCTGTGCTATTGCTCCAGCCTCAGAGAAAAAGAATTTTAAACAATTTAAGAAATCTTTTAAAGTCACCACTAATGAACTCTCAGTTCTTTGAGTTTTTTTTTAAGCTGAACATGCTTGTCCATGCCCACGTCAACAAGCAGCCTACTAAAGTCTCAAAAAAAAGGGGGTAACAAGAAACATTTACTAATGGCTCAGAAATCTGATAATGATAAAACACAGATTGAAGGAAGTTCTTTAAAAACACTTCCCAACTTGAGAAATAGAAGAAAACTGTGCTGAAGCACATCATCCTTGACACTCAATTTCTACCCTGAGGAGAAAAATCTGAGAGGAAAGTCCCACAGAAGTACAAGGTGTTCACAAAAAAAAGAACTTTCCAGAAAACAGTTCGGGATTCCAGTTCTCCGACTTTGTCACAAGAAAGCGCACTAGAAGAAAGTCTCCTTACCTTGAAGAAAGAGTGAATGGCGGCTGTGGCTTCACTGCGGACCCTGAGGATGGCCCCCTGGACGTTGGTCCGACACCTCAGGTGAGGGAACTGTCGCAGATACTCCAGAGGATATCTCTCTTTATACTTAAAGGGGAAAGTCTGCCAGGAAAACAGAAACAAATATATTGAAAGCTTAAAAAAAAATGACAATTTTGTAAAGTCAGTTCCAAGGCATTTTGTTTAAAAACTGTTTAGGACCCCTTGGTCCTGCTCGACCGATTCTGGACTAAATATCTGAGGAGATGTGAGTCAAACGGCTAAAAATTCATAGATACACCTGTCCTGGGGCCAGGGCAGCCACACCTACACCCCACCACGGAGGTCACGCCAAGGGCCCACTAATACTCTCTGCAGAGACACCAAACTGCGAATAATCTCAGGTACCCAATGCCCAGGTTGAAAACTCTGGTGTCTTCTCAGAGTTTGGGGGGTGGGGGGGAAGCCCCGGCAGCCATCTGCACCTCTCACAGAGGTCCCCATCCACTCATCAGCCCAGACCATAGATCCTGAAGTCTCTGGGCTACTCGACACCTCCTGTTTCTTCAATACTGAAATGCTAGTGGGAGCACACGAAACCAGACAGGAGAGTACCACAGAAGCCAACTACACTCAACCAACAAAAACAACCACACAAGGCTCAACCAGAAACAAACAGCTTAATAAATTCTTTTTGTTTTTTTTTTTGGCCTTTTTCTTCTTTTTTTTTTCTTCTTTTGGGGTCATACCCAGCGAAGCTCAGGGGTTACTCCTGGCTCTTAACTCAGGAATTACTCCTGGTGGTGCTTGGGGGACCATACGGTATGCAGGGGATTGAACTTGGGTCAGCCGTGTCCAGGGTCGTCGTGGGGCTGCCAGGCCCTGGGAGCCCAGGACTGGCAAGTCACCGAGGGGTGTCTGAGGCACATGGCTAGAATCAGGGATGTTCGGGGCCTTCACAGCTGCACTTGGAGGTTTCCCCCTTAATCTCCAAACATAATGGTATGTAGTCCAAACTCAATCCAACAGGCTACCAAGATGGTGAACTTCAATCACAGAGACAAGGGGCTGAATCCGCTATTAATTACGAGCTGCGGAACCTTGGGCAAACTCCTGACTTGGTATCACTGCCATTAATCAAATTTCTATTAGCTCTCCAACGGCACTTACACATATGACACTAGGCTATAATTATGCAGAACAGGCACTCTTTGGCCACAGGGGTTCCGAGCACTGCATGTACCAGAGATGTTTTCTGCAGTCACACACACACAGCTGCTCTTCCAATTTTTCAGACACCGGATATCTTGCTAGGCGACAATCATTCATGAGCGAATGGCTCTGCCCGGCGCTGTTTGTGGACTTGCCGTCTGCGAGCAGAAGGGCGCGTCCACAGCTCTCATTCCCCCCCACCGCAGAGCAGTGCTGAGTCACAGAACATTCAAGGAAAATTACGACTCTCCCGAGAAATAGTTCCAGCCTCCCCACACGCGTGCTACAAAAAGACAGAAACAAGCTTTTGGACCAAAGCCAAAGTTTCAAGAACCGAAAAAGAATAGAAACGCTACCTTGATGGTTTGCTTGCTTTTACCTATTCCTTTTTTTTTTTTTTTTTTTTTTTTGCATTTTTGGGTCACACTCGGCAATGCACAGGAGTTACTCCTGGTTCATACACTCAGGAATTACTCCTGGCGGTGCTCGGGGGACCATATGGGATGCTGGGAATCGAACCCGGGTTGGCCGTGTGCAAGGCAAACGCCCAACCTGCTGTGCTATTGCTCCAGCCCTACCTATTCCTTTTAAGTCTCATGCAACATACAAACTTATTTTATATAGATATAACACCGTGCCTAGCAAAGAGATATTGGTAGGAAATTAATAGGAAATCTGGGACTTTTGGAGAATGTCTGACTACTTTTAAAAATGACACTGAAACGAAGAGGAGAGGATGAAGACAACACCACCACCACCAAGAGAGAATGATTTAAAAGGAGTGAATCATGAGCCAGAGAACGAGTACAGGGAGTGGGGTGCCTGCCTTGCTCGGGGTTGGCCCTGGCTCGATCCCTGACACTGCGTATGGTCCCTGAGCATCCCCCCTGGTCACTCCTAAGCACAGAGCCAGGAGTAGCCAGAGCACTGTTGGGTATGGCCCCAAACCCCCTCCTCGGAAAAAAAAAATTGTGATAAATCTTTCGGGGTAATGGGGGGCGGGGCCCACTAGAGGTGCTTAAGGGCCACCTCCAGCAATGTTGGGGCAGGGATCTCCAGAGTTATCTCCCTGGCCCAATGTGGCAAAATTTAGGGGCGAGGAAGTGTTTGGGCCACACCTGGCCATGCTCGGCGGCTACTCCTAGCTCTGCATTTAGGGGATATCGACAGTGCTCGGTGGACAATGGCACAGCCAGGGACAGTACCTGGGTGACCTATATGCAAGGCAAGTGCCTTAACCCCGGGACTCTCTCTCTGGTTCTAACGTGGCACATTTTTTTTTTTTCTTTATTTTTTTTTTTTATTTATTTTTCTTTATTGAATCACCGTGGGAAAGGTTACAAAGCTTTCAGGTTTAGGTCTCAGTCATGCAAATTTCAAACACATTTCCCTTTACCAAAACTTATTTTTTACCATGAAGAACCCCAATAAAACCCCACCCCCCCCACCCCTCCCAGTCCCTGTGTGGCAGATGAATTCTAGATAACACTCTATCTGCTTTGATTAGATTCATTGTTTCAATAAAAGATTCACCACTATTATTTAGAGTTTACCCCCCCCCCCCAATCAGACATGCTGAAAAAGCATTGTGAAGTGATTTGCTTTCTACAGCTGGGTTCAAGAATTAAATGTTGGTTTTGAATTTCTGCTATTTTACTTATTGACCCTGGAAGTATTTCTACTGAAAGTCAGATAGTTAAGAAATTGGTTTCTGTGCACTGGAGACGTGGCCGTTAGTGGGGGGCAACTGGTGGCCTCGGTAGGGCGTGAAGGGCGGACCGAAACGCCCCCCTTCCCATGAGGTTTTAGTAGCCCCCACTCCCCCGGCTCATACCTGCTGTCCACAAGGCTACCATGCGGCCGCCATCTTTCTTTCCAGAGAGGAGAAGGCGACTGGGGCAACACCCTTTCCCCTCTGGACAGACCTGATGGCCTGGATTAACGCATAGTCCATTCACTTTTCTGCTCCAAGCTGCTGGGTTCTGCATTAAGTCCTTGTGCTTCTGGGGCCATGGCCGTGCTGGAGAACCGCTCGCGGGGGGCAACTGGTGGCCTCGGTAGGGCATGAAGGACGGACCGGAACGCCCCCCTTCCCATGAGGTTTTAGTCGCCCCCACACCCCCGGCTCATACCTGCTGTCCACAAGGCTTCCATGTGACCGCCATCTTTCTTTCCAGAGGGAGGAGGGCGGAAGGGACCAACACCCTTTCCCCTCCGGGCAGACATGATGGCCTGGATTAACGCATAGTCCTTTCACTCTACTGCTCCAAGCTGTTGGGTTCTGCATTAAGTCCTTGTGCTTTTGGGGCTGTGGCCGTGCTGGAGAGCCGCTCGTGGGGGGCAACTGGTGACCTCGGTAGGGCGTGAAGGACGGACTGGAACGCCCCCCTTCCCATGAGGTTTTAGTCGCCCCTACACCCCCGGCTCATACCTGCTGTCCACAAGGCTCCCATGTGGCCGCCATCTTTCTTTCCAGAGGGAGGAGGGCGGAAGGGAGCAACACCCTTTCCCCTCCGGGCAGACATGATGGCCTGGATTAACGCATAGTCCTTTCACTCTTCTGCTCCAAGCTGCTGGGTTCTGCATTAAGTCCTTGTGCTTCTGGGGCTGTGGCCGTGCTGGAGAGCCGCTCATGGGGGGGCAACTGGTGACCTCGGTAGGGCGTGAAGGACGGACCGGAACGCCCCCGTCCCATGAGGTTTTAGTCGCCCCCACTCCCCTGGCTCATACCTGCTGTCCACAAGGCTCCCATGCAGCCGCCATCTTTCTTTCCAGAGAAGAGAGGGCAAATGGGGCAACACCCTTTCTCCTCCGGCAGACTTGATGGCCTGGATTAACGCATAGTCCGTTCACTTTTCTGCTCCAAGCTGCCGGGTTCTGCATTAAGTCCTTGTGCTTCTGGGGCCGTGGCCGTGCTGGGGAATCGCTCGTGGGGGGTAACTGGTGACCTCGGTAGGGCGTGAAGGACGGACCGGAACGCCCCCTTCCCATGAGGTTTTAGTCGCCCCCACTCCCCTGGCTCATACCTGCTGTCCACAAGGCTCCCATGCAGCCGCCATCTTTCTTTCCAGAGAAGAGAGGGCGAATGGGGCAACACCCTTTCTCCTCCGGCAGACTTGATGGCCTGGATTAACGCATAGTCCGTTCACTTTTCTGCTCCAAGCTGCCAGGTTCTGCATTAAGTCCTTGTGCTTCTGGGGCCGTGGCCGTGCTGGGGAACCGCTCGTGGGGGGCAACTGGTGACCTCGGTAGGCCGTGAAGGACGGACCGGAACGCCCCCCTTCCCATGAGGTTTTAGTCGCCCCCACACCCCCGGCTCATACCTGCTGTCCACAAGGCTTCCATGTGACCGCCATCTTTCTTTCCAGAGAGGAGAGGGCGAATGGGGCAACACCCTTTCCCCTCTGGACAGTCATGATGACCTGGATTAACGCATAGCCCGTTCACTTTTCTGCTCCAAGCTGCTGGGTTCTGCATTAAGTCCTTGTGTTTCTGGGGCTGTGGCCGTGCTCCAAACTTAACTATGATTTTCAGAGAGAAGTGTTCGGTAGTTTACTTTGTATATATGGATCACTTTGTATGTAGAGAGATGTCGCGCGGCCGCGTAAGCGGCCGCGCGGTTTTGAGGAAAAGTCCTAGTTCCCGGATACTCGAGCTGTGGTTGTTGAGGCTTCTGGTCATCGGGGTTCCATCTGGGGGAGGCGGGATGCGGTACCTACCCCATCTGGGGCTTCCCGGTGATCTCGGCTCTTTTTGGAATCTGTTTTTTTTTTTTTTCCTTCGGGATCTGTGGGTCCCGCCCTCCATGTTGTCCTTCTCTTTGGTGAATGCTGTAAATATGGCGCTGGGGGGCGGGCTGTGGGTGTGACTTCCGGAATCAGAGGTTACCTGGGAGGTGTAGTCCCGGGAGATTTGAGGAAACGTCCTAGTTCCCGCATACTCGAGTTGTGGTTGTTGAGGCTTCTGGTCACCGGGGTTCCATCTGGGGGAGGCGGGATGCGGTACCTACCCCATCTGGGGCTTCCCGATGATCTCGGCTCTTTTTGGAATCTTTTTTTTTTTTTTTCCTTCGGGATCTGTGGGTCCCGCCCTCCATGTTGTCCTTCTCTTTCACGTGGCACATTTTTGATGATCACATATCCCCATGAAAAGGTCAAACCAAAATGGTCACTATCGGGCCGGAGCGATAGCACAGCGGGTAGGGCGTTTGCCTTGCAAGCAGCCAACCTGAGTTCAATCCCCAGCATCCCATATGGTCCCCCAAGCACTGCCAGGAGTAATTCCTGAGTCCAGAGCCAGGAATAACCCCTGAGCATCGCTTGGTGTGACCCAAAAAGCAAAAAAAAAAAAAAAAAAAAAAAAGGTAACTATCTCCAGACCTAAGTAAAATTATTTTCTATTTTCTCGAAGGCCTTTTGCCTGAGTCCTGATTTTATGTCAACTAGCATTTCTGAGAAAATTATTCCAAATGACATCATTTCAACTATCCCATTTTCTTTATTCCTTGCATTTCATTTCTTCTAACCAAGATTTCTGAAAAATGAAGTCTTCAATTTCCCTATTTGTAGTCCTTCTTTAGTTCAGTGTCTGCTAACAAGCACAGCAGAAACACCAGGCTCCACCGGCCCTAACGCCAGCCTTCACTGCGACGCCAACCCGCACACAGGCACAGATGAGTCGCTTCACCCTGAGGCTCCCATCTCTGTTAAGGCAACCCAGACTAGCGACCTCAGATTATCTGCTCTCGAACTGCTTCAGGACGTGAATAAAAATCTGCTATCCAAAGAGCCATGCAGAAAAGGCTGTAAATAGATCTGTAGCACTGTACCACTGTCCTCCTGTTGTTCATCGATTTGCTCGAGCGGGCACCAGTAATGCCTCCACTGTGAGACTTGTTGTTACTGTTTCTGGCATATCGAATACGCCACGGGGAGCTTGCTAGGCTTTGCCGTGTGGGTGATAGCTTGCCGGGCTCTCCGAGAGGGATGGAGGAATCGAACCCGGGTCAGCTGCGTGCAAGGCAAATGCCCTACTCGCTGTGCGATCGCTCCAGCCCGTAAATAGATCTAATATACAATTTCTTATCTTGACAGTGCTCTCAGTCCACACTGCCCAGGGGATTGTTTTTTTCTTTCTTTCCTTTTTTTTTTTTTTTGATCCACAATTGGTTGTGCTCAGGGTTTACTCCTGACTCTGCATTCAGGAGTCACTCCTGATGGCCAGGGAGACCATATGTTGCGCTGGAGGACAGATCCAGGTTGGTAGCATGCAAAGCAAGTAACCTGCTGTCCTATTGCTCTGGCCCCTCCAGGAGAAATTTCTGTGACAAACGGACCTGTCTAGTACAGGCATTCTCCACTACTGCACACTGTGAAGTCTTCTGCGAAGGACTTGAGAAGCGGTCTGGGCCACTAGACCACACTTTTCTTCTCTACAGGAGCAATTCCATGGTGTCTGGACACAACTTCCAGGGCTCTGACTGGGAGGATGCACTTGAGCCTGGCGGTGAGGGGGCGCACCCCAGCCACATCCTGGGGCCGGAGACAGAGCTCAGAGCTTCCCCCATGCCGGACCTGTGTTCTCCCAGGATCTGCCTGGTTGAAGACCGGAGTTTTAGAACTTAATTTCAACTGCTTTCACATGAAGCAGTCGCCGTGGTTCCATGGCTCCCTTCCAGGCAGAGCTTCCCTCACACCTGGAAAAGCAGCAAGTTCTCACGAGGCCAGGTACCACTAAGATGCCTGGATACTCAGCGCTCGCGCACAGCTCGGTCCTAGCCAGAAACAGGTCTCGCTACATCCCTAGGTTTCTCCAGTTCATTTCAATGATCTTGGATTTCAAAAATCAAGCATGTGCTAAGTGAAGTCTTCCCAGGAGCACACTTCAAAAGAAGCGCCACGGTAGAAATGACACTTGTACCTTTACGTTCAACGCAGCACTGTTCACAATAGCCGGAATCTGGAAGCAACCCAAGTGCCCGAGCACAGATGACTGGCTAAAGAAATTTTGGTACATCTACACAATGGAATACTATGCAGTTATTAGGAGAGGTGAAGTCATGAAATCTGCGTATAAGTGGATAGACATGGAGAGTATCATGCGAAGTGAAATGAGTCAGAAAGAGAGGGACAGACATAGAAGGACTGCACTCATTTGTGGAGTATAAAATAACATGAGACTGACACCCAAGGATGGTAGACACAAGGGCCAGGAATATTGCTCCATAGCTGGAAGCCTGCCTCATGAGTGGGGGGAGAAGGCAGCTGAAATAGAGAAGGGATCACTGAGAAAATGATGGTTGGAAGGATTGGTGGGGATGGGAGATGTGTGCTGAAAGTAGATACAGGACCAAAAGTGATGGACTCTCGGTATCTGTGTTGCAAACCATAATGCCCAGAAGTGGAGAGTATGGGTGAAATTGTCTGCCATGGAGGCAGGGGGAGGGTGGGAAGGGGGGGGGGGGCATATGGGGAGACTGGTGGTGGGGAATGTGCACTGGTGGAGGGATGGGTGTTTGAACATTGCATGATTGTAACTCAAACATGAAAGCCTGTAACTGTATCTCACGGTGATTCAATAAAATAAAATTGAAAAAATAAGAAGTGCTAACGTTCTCAAGAAAGCCTGACCAAGCTCTCGACTTGTCAGGACTCATACCTTAGCATCACAATTTCCAACAACTTCAATTTTTTCCGCCTTCAGTTCCACATTTTGCTTTTTGGATGGACTCGGTACCAGCTGCCCGTGAACTTCAACAGAACTCCCAAAAGCAAGATCTCTAGGGCAACAAAAAGCAGAACGAACAAGACATCACTATCTGTGTGGGTTCCAAACTGTAGGCACCCAACACATGCATTCAGTGGCCAGGAACGGCCTCCCCAGGCCAACCGACATGATGGATGCATGGAGGATGGAGACTGGAGGAACAGGGGTCACAGGCTGCTTGGTAACCAGTGACTTTATTTCTCATTCCCTCCCTCATGCAGGGTGGGGGGCACACAAAGGTTGACATAGGTTGAACATTATCACAACAATAAACAGATGCAAAACCTCTCCTTCAGGGGAAACTCTTCCAGGAGATTAACACAAGGACAAATTCTCATCTGGGGGTTTTGCAAGCTAGGTTACTAAGAGATTCGCTGGAGGGCGCGATTCCAGCCAGAGTGGATTGCTTTCTCCTTTCCTCAGCTAGTAATCCATTTATTTCTAGTCATTTTGTTTGAATACAGTCCACTGTCCACTGTCCTCCCGTTGTTCATCGATTTGCTTGAGCTTGCCCAGTAACGTCTCCATTTTGAGACTTGTTGTTACTGTGTTTGGCATATTGAATATGTCACAGATAGTTTACGAGGCTTTGCTGTGTGGGTGAGATACTCTGGGTAGCTTGCCGGGCTCTCCGAGAGGGGCAGAGGAATCAAACCCGGCTTGACAGGGCCAGTCGCGTGCAAGGCAAACGCCCTACCACTGTGCTATCGCTCCAGCCCCATGAACACAGTAAGAGAATATTAAGCTTAACGGGTGGCTCTTCCTGGAGACATCTCACTATACATCCCAGGCTGTAGTCTAAGGCCAGGTTAGTCTTTCCTAATCCTAGCAGTGTCCTTATCTGCGGGGGGCCCGCAAAACCACTCTCCGGCCCACGGAGGTGGCCCTAGGATCTGTAGGTGCAGGGAAGGACCGACCGAATGAACACAAGACACAAGAGACAGAATGCAGCTCAGAAACAGAGAGAAAAAGGGACAGACTTTATTGGGGGCAATCAGGGTATATATCCATTCGTGAGGCAGCTACACTAAAGGTCGTGCCCATATATGGTTAGGAAGGTTTGTTTTCACCTGTCATGCATTACAACGTTTATGTGTATCTGGTACCAGACACGAGGTGAGTACACAAAGGGCCATGTCCATATGATTTACCAGACATGAGGTAGATACACAAAGAGCCATGTCCATAAAATTTACATGCATCACGTACCAGACACGAGGTAGTTACTTCTTGTTATTACCGACAGCCATGACAGATGTTCTCTCAGGATAACCATACATCAAGATAACCATACATAGCACTGGTTTTGCCTGTTGCGGGGTCACGTAGGTCAAGATGACCATCCATAGCACAGGCTGTGCCTGCTGTGGGGTCGTAGGTCAGGATGACCATACCTAGCACAGGCACTTAGGCCTTGGTCAGTTAAAGGGCCAGCTTCCCACACTTATCCAGTTACTTCTTTTTGGATCACGACAGAGTTTGTTCCATGATCGTGGTCTTAACTTTACTACATTTCTTATGGCACTTAGCCTGTCCCTTTTCGATGCCCTTTTCGGTACCTTGCGGCTTGCCCTGGGTCCATCCAAGACCCTCGCCGGGACCCTCCTTTTGAGGGTGTTAGGAAGTAATGGCAACTGAGGCTTCAGTCAGGTAAATGATGGATGCCCAGGAGTACATATTATTCGGAGTCAATTAACTCCCATGATACAAAAGCATAGCACCAACTGCCTTCCTGCGTCTATACAAAAAAAGGACATTGCTAAACCAGGCAAAGGACACAGAGGAAAGAGAAAAAGCAATATAGGATTATTAGTGCCTAATGGGTGTGCCCCGGGAGCACTGTGGTGGGAGTAACTCAACAAACCCAAGCTCCCTGCGGGAGGAACAAGGACAAACCAACGTTACCCAGCAATTCATAACCCTCAGTTTACTACAACCCTTTCTAGTCAGTACATGAACAACAAAGCTTTTCCCCTTGATTGAATTCAAAGCTGTGTACAGTTGAGACTAAAGTGAAGAACAGAGGGTGGGCGCCCGTCATGCAAGATGTGAGGTCATGAAAGACTGAACTATAAGGATCTTAATTCCAAGCATTTATTTCGACTTCGGTCTCAGAGATACAAATGCAGATTTGTTTATATAGATCACACAAAGACAACCAATGAGGGAAATGGGAAGCAGAAGAAATGAAAGAATAAAAACAGACACTGAAAAACAAAACCCTCCATGTGGTGATATGGCTGAGAGGTGGAGCACAGCCCCCACCCCCCCATTGCAAAAACCAGCTAAGAAATTGAAAACAACGCCACTCAATGCCTCTTTTGCAAATCACAACGCCCAAAAGGAGAGAGAGAACAAAAGGGAATGCCCTGCCACAGAGGCAGGGTGGGATGGAGGGATGGGGGGTGGGAGGGATACTGGGATCCGTGGTGGTGGGAAATGGGCACCGGTGGAGGGATGGGTATTTGGTCATTGTATAATTGAAACCCAAGCACAAAAATTTATAAGTCTACAACTGTACCTCATGGTGTTTCACTAATAAAAATTAAAAAAAAAATCGGAAACAAAAATTCATACCCCTCCCCTCCCCGCTCCATAGAACCCACCTACTAGCAAAGCTTGAATCTGCTACAACCTGGAGATTTTCCAAAGATGAACCATCATTTACGTGCAGGAACAAGACTTCTTTCTGGGACCGGACTGAGCGAATCCATCCCTGATAGAGAGAGCATTTCTAAGTGTGAGTTTAAAACATTTCACACTGTCATTTGACATACACATCCAGAGGTGACTAAAAGACAAAAGGGGGAAAATGATCTCATAATTCTAATAAATCAATAGCTGTTAGTTCAGCCACAGGCGCACACGATTATGTACAATTTTCACCACAGCCACCAATGGCATTCCCCCTTTACTTTTTTAATAAAGCTCACCACTGAGACTGGTTTGCTAGTATTCCATGTTGAAGCCCTCATTCACATAAGCAACCCTCCTTAGAGTGGCGAGGTGTTTGCCCCTGCCTTCATTCCACCCCCATCATAAATAAAAGGACTTATTTTTTGGTGCTTTCCTCCTTTTATATCAAATTCTCAGATTGCATAGTTATAGATTATGTCCTTTGAGTTTTTTCCTTTTACAATGTAAATCACAAAAATATTTCTCAAAAAACTCCTGTGTGAACACTGTCACTGTCCTCCCGTTGTTCATCGATTTGCTCAGGCGGGCCCAGTAATATTGTGAGACTTGTTACTGTGTTTGGCATATTGAATACGTCCTGGGTAGCTTGCCAGGCTTTGCCGTGCGGGCGAGATACTCTCAGTAGCTTGCTGGGCTCTCCGAGAGGGGCGGAGGAATCGAACTCAGGAGGGCCATGTTGGCTGTGTGCAAGGCAAATGCCCTACCCGCTGTGCTATCGCTCCAGCCTGTGTGAACACACATTAAACAAACTTTCAAAGACTGAATTTAAATATAAGTGAAAAAGAGATAATTTTAACAAGATCAACAATGAGGAAAGTGCTCTCAGAAATCACAGCTACGGAATTTTGGGGAAAGGGCTCCCAAGCAGTGCTTGGGGCTAGGGCCACCCCAGGGATACTCAGGCCAGCTCCGTGGAACTAAAGCTTTGGTGTCAGAACTGGCAGTGATGGGGATCCAATTCGGACTATCTCATACAAAGTATGAGCCCTTTAGAGCCATCCACAGACCAGAACTTTCTTATAATAGCATGAGAGAGTCTCTGAGCAGACTGAACAATTGGATTACTAAACTTCTGATGTCTGATTAACCATCAAGCATGCTCAAGACATGTGAGGTACTTAGGACTTTTCCTCCCTTGGTGTCTACACCAAATCCTCCAGATCTTATCACTGAAGCTCTTCTGGTGCTTTATCTGAATGCCCAGAGCACCATGAGGTTTTGGAACCTGGCGTCGCTCTGAAGGCAACTGCCAGGCACGTGATCTGCAAATGTGACTTCATGAAAGAATATCTTCCATGTGACAAGTGTTTTCCTGCCTTCCTTAGACCATCTCACCTCTCCTCACAACAGCTGTTCGGGGACCCTCATTCCCAGCTCACAGTTTTGCAGAAGTTATAGGATTTGCTAATGGTCTAGCTGGTAGTAAAGTTTAGAACCTCAATCTACTAGAACACGATGCTTAATTTTTCTCCAGGGAGGCCTCAATAGAGCAGAAATCCCCAGCCTTACTTTCCAGAAAACTAAACAACAACAAAAAAAATCAGAGGCCAGAGAACAGTATGGCCAGTAAGGTGATTGCCTTGCATGCAGCTGACCTGGGCTTGATCCGCAACACCCCATATGGTCCTCTGAGCAACACCAGGAGTGATTCCTGAGTGCAGAGCCAGAACTAACCCGAGCATTGCCAGGTGTGGCCCCCAAACGAAAATCAAACAGTCACTTAGCACCCCCTGCAAATCTACGCCCCCCCCCCCCAATCATTCTTCACCCTGGGAGGACAGCCTCCTTTTCAGGAGATGCTGGAATAGTGTCACTGCCCGGCCTATGCAGATTCTCTGCAATCTGAAGTCCAGCGACTTTCTGGTGTACCTCACTGGTGTGCACCACCGGTGACTCACCCATGAACGTGGTCTAATTGCACAGATTTCAGTGCCAGCGTCAGTGCTTCCCAAGCACGTGCTACTTGGGTGTGCCCATTCAACAGTAGTTCCCAAAGCACTCCTGCTCTTTTCCTCAATACTCTGGGAGCACTCTTTAACTTGCTCCTGTTCTCATAAAAACCATATCCTTTCATCTCACACAAGCTTAACAAAAGGAGTGTTTTCTTCTTTTAAGATCAGCATACTGAAGACACATTAGGATAACCTCTCTAATAAGGCCAGGGGCTCGGTTAGCACGCAGGACTGGAGTTCAAAGACAGTTCTCACAGCTCGTGTTCTGCACCTTGAAATGCATTCTGAAATGCTCTGCACCTTGTCCACTGTATCTCAGCCTGAGATGTCTCTCAGAACTCAGCTGAACTGTCACCTCGTCTCTGCCTCTTCTCTGGCCTAACCAGTGAAGATCTTCCCTGTTTTCTTACAGCTTTCTTCCTACCAATAATAGTTTTCCTGTTGCTGCCATCTCTTGGCTTAGCTTTGAGTCCAGGGATGGGATTGTTCACAGGAATTAGTGACTCACATGTGATTTCACATTTCTCAACTCCCATCGAAAAGCCAAGGAACCCCCAAAACCAAACAAAATAAAAAAAATCATGTGAACATAAAAAACAAGTGTTTTATTTAACTTGATGTCCAACATTATGAGACTGACGCACTGCCTACTGCGCTAAGGGCTGGAGCAATAGCACAGCGGGTAGGGCGTTCGCCTTACAAGCGGCCAACATGGCCGACCCGAGTTCGATTCCTCCGCCCCTCTCGGAGAGCCCGGCAAGCTACCGAGAGTATTCGATATGCCAGACAGAGTAACAACAAAGTCTCCAATGGAGACGTTACTGGGCCCGCTCGAGCAAATCGACGATCAACGGGAGGGCCTTCCGATGTCCAACATGCTATCCATATAAATTGCAATAGTTAGGTATTTTGCATTCGTTTATTCGAAACTGCACCTATTTTTACACTACAGCATCTAACTAGAACTAGCTACATTCTAAGAGCTTCCTACCCTAAGAGGCTGGTACCCTGCACAGCATTAAAACCCACATCCCTAAACCGTGCAGGCTGATTCTTTTCACGTTTGACTGCTCTTCATGAACAGCACAAGGGGAGGACCGTTAACGTTCGTCAAATTTATAGACAAACCCAAGAAAAGGTTTTGCTTTGGCCCATGCAAAATATAGTAAACCCAAAGACATGCATTGGGGCGGGTTGACCATACTATGAAAACTGGAGGCAAAGACAGAACAAAAATAATGGCAGGGGAGTGCTTCTTCAACCGTGCTATTGAGTGAAACCACACGTCAACGCTTCTTTAAGGGGGGAAATCTCCCCAAAGCTGCAACCAACGATCAGCCAGGGAATAGCTGTCGGCAGTGACTGTGGGTCTCTATCTACCCAGGGTCACTGCAAGGAAAGATGCTCTTGTTGCCTTCATTGCATGGGGGCGAACAACCTGCCCCTAGCTAGCGTTTAGTTGGTACCCCAGTCGCTCACGCCTCCACTCTACCCCCGCTCCGGCTGCCCTGGGCCGAAACAGCATGCAAAAGCCACATGCAGCGAGTTTAAGAGAGCAGAGCCGGGCTCAGGGCTGGACGGCACGGGGCACTGCTCGGTGCAGCGGGTGCTGAGTGTGCGCTGGAAGCCGTGCACGGTGCACAGTGCACAGTGCACAGTGCACGGTGCACGATGCACGGTGCACGGTGCACGCCCGTGAGCGGCACCTGGAGGCAGGCTCCAGGCGCTGTCACCCACGTGGGGCACTGGCACGGGCACTGCTCGGTGCAGCGGGTGCTGAGTGTGCGCTGGAAGCCGTGCACGGTGCACGGTGCACGGTGCACGGCCGTGAGCGGCACCCGGAGGCAGGCTCCAGGCGCTGTCACCCACGTGGGGTACTGGCACGGGCACTGCTCGGTGCAGCGGGTGCTGAGTGTGCGCTGGAAGCCGTGCACGGTGCACGGTGCACGCCCGTGAGCGGCACCCGGAGGCAGGCTCCAGGCGCTGTCACCCACGTGGGGGCACCGGCAGCCCAGGAGGCGCGGCAGGTCCGGCCCCCCCCCCCCCGTCCCGGCACCCACCTGGACCTTCACGCGCTCCCCGCCCGGGCTCCGCACCGCGAGGGCGGCCCGCACGCTCAGGGCCGCCGCCGGGCCGGCCGTCGGGCGGGGAGCCGAGGAGCAGGAGCGCCAGGCTCGGAGCAGGCAGCGGGCCGCCAGCATGACCCTCCCCGCCCGCAGCCCCGCCGGAAACGCGCGCGCCCCGACCGACGTCATCGCCGCGACCAACGTCATCGCGCGGCGCGGGGAGGAAGCGCGCATGCGTCCTGGCGCTCCCGGCTTAAAGGGCCCGTGGGCGGGGCCACGGGGCCACGTGGTGGGAGAGGGGAAAGCGGTGGGTGCCAAGCCCCGTGGCACCCGTGGGCCTGCGCTACCGGCAGCCACAGTGCGAAGAACACTTCTATTAAAAAGAAAAAAGTTGTGGAGTTCATGCACAATTCAATCAGCCTCATCAGTGGCTGAATAAGTGGCAGTACTCCTACATTTAAAAAAAAAAGACTATAAGTTTATGATATGTGAACTATTCATTCATAAGGTATTTGTGATGGTTTCACGTCTTTTTATGTGAAAAAAAAGTTCCATTCAGAAGTCCCATTCTTGGCCGAGATTAGTACCAGGAATTTTACTCCATGGCTTGGAGGCCAGCCACACATGCTAGGGGAAAAGGGAGCTCAGATAGAGAAGGGAGCACCAAATAAAGGGTGTTGGGAGGATCCTCCCAGGATGGGAGAAGCATGCTGAAAGTAGACTCTAGACCAAACATGACTATAGACCAAACATGATTGTCACCCATTGCCTCTTTTGCAAACCACAACACCCAATAAGAGAGAGAGAACAAAAGGGAATGCCCTGCCACAGAGGCAGGGTGGGTTGGGGAGGATGGGGGGGTGGGAGGGATACTGGGATCCGTGGTGGTGGGAAATGGGCACTGGTGGAGGGATGGGTATTTGCTCATTGTATAATTGAAACCCAAGCACAAAAATTTGTAAGTCTACAACTGTACCTCATGATGTCTCACTAATAAAAAATTTTTTAAAAAGTCCCATTCTTTTCCTGTAAAGTTTTCCTAGATGGGGCCAATAGACTTTATTACAATTTGTGTTAAAATTCATAAAGTATTATGTATTCTGTGTATAAACTGACCAAATTTTGAACATTACTGTCAAAAGTGAAAAAAAAAGAAATACAAATGGCCAAATGCGCATAAAAAATGATCAGCATCACTAAGCATCAGGGAGATTACAAATCAAAACAACAATGTGATCATCTCACATCAAAGAGACTGGTGCACATCCAAAACAACAACAACCAATGCCTGTATGTTTTGTTTGTGTTGTGCTTTGTCCGTTTGCTGTACTTAAGAATGTTGCACTTAAAATCTTGCTTTGTTTTGGGTTTTTTTTTGGGCCACACCTGTCTGTGCCAGGGATCACTCCTGGCAGTCTGCAGGATAGGATAGAACCTGAATCGGTCACGTGCCAGGCAAACACTTTCCCTACGTACTGTCTCTGCAGCCTTGTACTTAAAACTTTTTCATTTAAAAATATATTTTAGAAAAAAAAAAAGAAAAAAGTTTTCACAGAAGCAGACTGTTGGGAAGGAGTCAGACAGGGGTGGAGGGTGTTGGTGATGGGAGGTGGACCCTGTTGAAGGCATTGAAACATTGCGTGCCTGAAACTGAATCATGAATAAGTCATTTGGAGACTAAATTAAAAAAAATAAAGAGCTATGCTTTATTATTTGAGTTTTAGGCATACAATAATTCAACAGCAATCCCTTCACCAGTCTCAACTTCCCCTCCCCACCAGTGTTCCCAGATTCCCCCCCAATCCCCACTCCACCCCGCCTGTCAACTTGTCAGGCACATTCCGAAGTTCCAGTGGTGGCTGCTTAGATCTCATGTTTCCAGTGTGGCCGAGTCTGTGTTTTGGGTATATGGCTCTACTCCTCACCCACATCACTGGGATAACTGAAGCCCTGATGCCTGTCCACGCATTACTTCTCCTTTCCCCCTTGATTTCTTCCCTTCTCCATCTCACAGAGACTAAATGTTGTTGTTGGTTTTTAATAGAGTATTAATAGAGTATCCAACTGAATAACATTAATAGATGTTTATTTATATAAGGATGCATACCTGAATCTAATCTAATCTCTCTTTTTTTTTGAATCACCATGAGATACAGTTACAAGCATACCTGAATCTAATCTAATCTCTTTTTTTTTTTTGAACCACCATGAGATAAAGCTTTTTTGTTTGAGTTTTAGTCATACAATGATCAAACATCCATCTCTCCACCAGTGCACATTCTCCACCACCAATGTCCTGTGTATACTCCCCCTTTACAATCCTCCCCTGCCTCCATGGCAGACAATTTCCCCCATTCTCATTCTCTCTCTCTCTCTCTCTCTCTCTCTCTCTCCTTTTGGGCATTATGGTTTGCAATACAGATACTCAGAGCTTATCATGTTTGGTCCTTTATCTACTAAATGTTTTTTTAAATATTTCTTTTTTTTTTTTTAAGGTAGAAAAGATAGGTGGGGCAGCTGGGGGTGGGGTAGGGGCAGGGCCAGGGCTTTGAGGGCCGGGTGAGGTGGAGGCTGGGCGGGGCCAGGAGCTGGGCAGGGGCTCTGCAGTAGTTCTAAAGTGGCAGGGGTTTGTCCATAGGGAAAGAGGGCCGCTATGTAATGATCTGGTCGTAAAGTTTCCAGGGGGCGCTGAGGAATGGTCAAAGGCAGGGAGCCAGAGGGTTGCTGCAGGGGAAGCGAGTGGCCAGGAGACTTGGTTCTTGCTAGTATCCTCCTAAGGAAACTATTCCTCGCTGCAGACAGTTACCTAAAATGGGGACTCAGGTCTCTGAGCCCATGCGTGGGATGCCGGAGACGTCTTGCTGGAGGAGGGAGCCTTGTGACATTAAAGTAAAGGACGTTGAAAAGACACCGAATATGGGAATGTGACAAAATGAACGTGTTGCTGAGAGAACGGAGGGCCATTCATTATTCTCTGTCAGAATCTCCAAGTCTTCTCTCTCCCCCAACTCAATTATCTCCATTTGCTTTACCTGAAAACAAAGACCTTTTTTGGATGCCTTTTAAGTTTATGCATTGATAAATTTTTTTAATGTAATTCATGACACTTGCGACATTTTAGTCTCTCACTAAACGATAGCAGTAGTTTCATAAAGTTGCCTCTGCTATCATGTCCCTTTTATAATTAAGGGAACATGGGCACAGAAAGATTAAGTGAGTTACTCAAAAATATGCTGAAGAGTGTGGGTTTTAAACCTACAAATTCTGATTTCTTGCACTAAACTAATGCTATACGGTGTCTCAGGGAGGAAAATAAAATCATGGTACCTTCCTTGGTTCCTTGGGAGCTTCCTTGGGAGCTCATGTTCTAGATGTGGTGACCAAAAGGAATCAGATCATTTCAACATAAACCAGCAAGTTAGGGCTGGCATGATAGCACAGTGGGTAGGGTGTTTGTCTTGCATGCATCAACCTGGGTTCAATTCCCAGCATCCCATATGGTCCCCTGAGCACTGCCAGGAGTAATTCCTGAGTGCAAAGCCAGGAGTAACCCCTGAGCACCATCGGGTGTGACCCAAAAAGCAATATATATATATATAAGGTGTAAAGGTAAAGGTGTTATCCCGTTGATAGTCGATTTGCTCGAGCGGGCCCAGTAACGTCTCCATTGGAGACTTTGTTGTTACTGTGTCTGGCATATCGAATACTCTCGGTAGCTTGCCGGGCTCTCCGAGAGGGGCAGAGGAATCGAACTCGGGTCGGCCATGTTGGCCGCTTGTAAGGCGAACGCCCTACCCGCTGTGCTATATATATATGTACATATATTATATATATAAAACAGCAAGCAAGGTAGTACATATTTGAGCCAGCTGGTAGTCTAGAAAATGATATACTCAGTCATGTGGAGAATTAGAATCTGGCCAGGTTAGGATAGACAAAAGAGTCTTCTTTGTAGCAGGAAGGTGGGCAGGAACTTGAAAGAATTATTAAACTCTTCTCAAGACCAGCAAACATCTCCAATAAACGTGCTGTAGTTCTTTTTTTTTTTTTTTTTTTTTTTTTGCTTTTTGGGTCACACCTGGCGATGCACAGGAGTTACTCCTGGTTCATGCACTCAGGAATTACTCCTGGCAGTGCTCAGGGGACCATAGGGGATGCTGGGACTCTAACCTAGGTCAGCTGCATGCAAGGCAAATGCCCTACCCGCTGTGCCACTGCTCCAGCCCCGAAAGTGCTGTAGTTCTTGAGCACTATCTGTTGGTTCATATCATCATATCAGAGCCTCCTTATCTAGTCATCTATGGATGGGAATTTAGGGGGTTCTAGAAAGTCTTAAAATGACTGTTCCTATTTTATGTTAAACAATCAATTGTTCAGAGTACGCAGTTTATTACAACAATAGCAGTCACAGCAATTTCTCCCTGTGACCCAGGGCCCACCTCCACTTTAAACACTGCATTTAGTGGCCATATGCTTTTTTCACGGGCCGGAGCAATAGCACAGCAGGTAGGGCGTTCGCCTTGCATGCGGCCAACTGGGGTTCAATTCCTCTGTTCTTCTCAGAGAGCCCGGCAAGCTACCAAGAGTATCCCGCCCACACAGCAGAGCCTGGCAAGCTCCCCATGGCGTATTGGATATGCCAAAAACAGTAACAACAGATCTCACCAAGGAGACCTTACTGGTGCCTGCTCGAGCAAATCGATGAACAATGGGAGGACAGTGCTACAGTGCTGTGCTTTCTTCTCAACTGATTCAGAGTTTATCTCTGTTGACCCTAATCCAAGAAACTTAATGACAGAGCTTCTGTTTTATTTTTCAAATTATTGATTTAGGTTCTGTGATTTACAATTCTGTTTTTTAAGACTAAGAAAGCTTTTGTTTAGGAAGGATGATGCAATCATAGGCCCACTTGAAGAACTAGACTGTAGCTTCAACATTTTTCAATGTCCTCTGAGAGTTGGATTTTTTTTATGCACCTTGTACTCTTTTCAAACCTCTAACTTCAGACCAGAATTGAGCAGAAATATGGTCTCTAAAGTTTACAATACTGCTCACGATGGTTTTCCATATATATATGTGTGTGTGTGTGTGTGTGTGTGTGTGTGTAATTCCAACACCACACCTGTCACCAGTGTACTCCACCTCTAT